TCCCGAAAGGTTAATTACATCTCAATCTTCCTACATTGGTGTACAAAAGGAAAAGCTCTGATGTCATCTAGATAATTATCAAATTGTTGAAGGCCCCATTCTGCAACCTTTTTAGCCCACGACCCAAATTATATGTCAAGCAGTCTGATGTGACTCATCGAACCCAAGTGATTAAAAGGTCCATTGTTTTATACATACGACGGATAGCGGGATGAACCACCCACTTGATTCTTTTGTGAACTGATTAAAAGATATTATCACCCACAAAATCACTATGTAAAAGCCATAGAAATGAAAATATAAATCATGCAAGTTATCAAATTTTTCAATAAGTTAAACATTTTTAAAAATTAATGATTAACAGATACTTTATTATAAATTTCTAGTGCTGTCAGAGATTTATGGGTAAATACTGTACATTAAATTTAAAAATTTTTTCTCATTATAACTTGCAGCTGCAAGCCTAACACATTGAAATGAAACAATACTAATACTTTAAAGTTGTCATACCTGAAGTACAAATATTTTGATACTGTATATTTTTAACATGAAACTGTGATAACGCAGTCATAAGAAATAGTAAACTGACACACTTGTCACACTTAAATTGCATTTTCGTTTACTGTAATTTAATTGTGTTTGTCTTTTGTTTGTTTTTATTTGTTCATGTTAAGTAAAGTTTTCGCGATCTGAAGAGATTATGCGACCCATCAATTTTTTTTCGCAACCCAAGCATAGGTTGCGGAACGGTGGTTAAAGGAATTGATAATCTTAAAAGTTGAGGATTTAATTTTTTATTTGATACTGCATCCAGAACCAAAGGTCATTCCTTGAAAAGGCAAACAGTTAATCACTATTAAAGACAGTTTTCCTTCTCAATCGGCAGTAGTGGCGGCACCCAACTAGTCCAAGTCTGAGATTAAGAATCACTGGTCGGCCCATCCACTCAAGTTTAGCCCATGCTGGAGGACTTGGGAAGGCTGAGCACCAAGTGGGAGGAGGTACAAGAATTAGCTTGAAGCCAAAAAGTACAGTAAGTATGTAATTCAAAATTGTAATCAAAATACAATTATTTAAAGAAATTAACTTTCTTTTTACTGTATTCAAATTTAGGCAAGGCTTTTTTTATACCTTCACGAATCTAGCAATAGTGATGATTTGAATTTAAAAAAATACAATTTTATTTTTGGTCAATTAGAATGGAAATTTCAGAAAAAAATTAAATTGTTTTCATTTTTATCATGCCCACCGCTGTCTTGAATCTCCAAAATGAGAAATTATATAAATTTAAAGCATTTAACCATCCCATTACTACACTGTTTACATTCACTAATAAAATTTTATTTTTATTTTCTACTCCGTCTGGATGTTTTTGGCAAAAATATTTTCTAAATATGAAAACAACATTTAAAAAAAAATTTGTTTCCCACCCTCCTATAAAAAGTCTTGCCTTTCATTCATTCTTTATTCAGCCTACATGTAACATATACATTTACAAAAACAATGAAAATTGGACAAGCAACAGATTTTACAATATTTCCTAAGTTGGCTAGGATTGACAACAGTGATGAACACTCTAGCTCAAAAGCCTACCAAGGAAATAAAACAGTAGTATAAACATAAAATTTAAATTGGCTAAAAGGAAAACTAATTAAGAAATCAAATAAACTCCTTTAACTACCCTGATACAAAAGGCAAATCTGGAAAGAAAAATACAAAGGATTAGTATACAACAGGAAAATCATTAATTTGAGAAAATAAAAAAAGGGGAAAAAATAAAAAAAATTTGTACAGGTAAGTCCTGTATATCTACAAAAATTAATCTACAAATACAATAAAAAAACAAAAAATGGTTTAAGGATCGTCTCTGAACTGAATCCAAAAAAAAGTTCCAACAAAACACATAATAAGTGAAAGTGGGAAGGAATAATTTATTTAAAATTAAATTAAATAGACAAATAAAATTACAGTACTATAGGTACTAAAATATATTTAGATTTATTTATTTAAATTTTAAAAAGGCCAATAAAGATATTAATTTTTGACTGCATAAAATATATAAATCTTAGATATTACAGTACAGTATATTTAAAAATACATTTAATGTATTCACGTTAATAATCAGCATGTCAAATTAATTCCTGATTTTGCATCGTGGTCACATGATAATGATGAGATCCCATCCATTGCAATAATATTTTAATATTTTATATTACAATCTTTTAATATTTTATTTTTCTAAATGATATCTTTTGTGTTGTTTTCTGTGTGTTGAGTGCTGCCTTGGAGAGCCACATGATAGTGGCACTTTTGGTTATGAAAGTTGTATGAAACGACTTATTTCCAATGCGGTCCTTGAGAATCTGCAATTTCTGTTTCTGTTTTTATTTTCTTTTAATTGTAATTTTAACCCGAAATAAATTTGAATTTGAATTTGAAATACAATAAATATTCTTGTTGTTCGATAAATAGTAGTTTCAATTTATATAAAAAGTTTGTAGAGTGTCCAACATTGCAGATTCTTTCGGAAAATCACGGAGACAAGTCCAAATTCTAGGAAATTCATTAACTACTCCTTGCAGGCCAAAGTTCTTGCGTATTAAATGTTAAAAATTTCTTGGTAGCGTTCATTTATTTTCGCCCACTGATTTGCAGTCGATTAGTCCATACAGACATTTAATGACGAAGATGACAGCAGTTTGTTCTCTTCTGTCATGAAGTGTTGCTATATTCGGAGAACAGAGCCTAGTCTTGTATGCCATTTCACCTCTTTGTTGATGAGGCACATCCGTGATGCTCGTCTTTGTACACGCTCAATTCGTTTACACTCGTCTTTAGTGAGAGGGTTCCAGGCTGGCACTCCATATTCCAAAACCAGAAGCATAAGAGTTTTGTATAATAATAATAATATGTCGTTCTTATATAGCGCTTAATGCCTTAACAAAGCCTCTAAGCGCTTTACATTATTACCCCCGGTCATATATACTGTATTGATAATATAGCTTTTGAAGAACATGCTCCAGCTACCTGCCATATGAACCCTAGTAATCTGGCAGCTTTGTTTGTGGTGTGTGTGACATGTTCTTTCCATAATAGTATGTTTGTTATTGTTAGTCCTGGGTATTTGAATGATGTAATGGTGGAGAGGTTAGTATTTTTGAGATGATAGGATGGGAGATGGTTTTGTGTTTGGATGATTTTGTCATTTGCATAACTTTGGATTTAGTAGTGTTAATAAACATGTTGTAGTGGTCCAGTTCATAATGCTGTCAAGATCAGCTTGGAAAGACAACTCCTCGTTTCTCCTGCGTATGTTCCCGAATATTAAAGTGTCATCGGCAAAAAGCAAGGTACTAAAAGAGATATTGTGAGTTATGTTGTTGATAAACAGATTAAAGAGTAATGGGTCCAAAACACTTTCTTGTGAAACACCTGATTTAACAAGTACCCATTATGACGATGTTCCTTTAAAAGTGACCCGTTGCTTTCTTCCGGATAGAAAAGATTTAATCCACATTTACATTTTACCTCTGATGTTATAGTTCCTGGTAAGTTTGGTGAGTAGAATATCGGGTGGGATGAGATCGAAAGCCTTTCGAAAGTCAAGGAATATCAAATCGATTCTTGGTGGACGAGGGCTGTCAAATGTTTTTTACCAGTTATTGACGGCATCACCGAGTTGTGTCATGCAAGACTTCTTTGCAGTAAATTCATATTGGGCTTCATTGTTGAGGCAATTTGATTCAATGTGTTCATTGATTTTGTAAGTTATCAAATCTTTGTTTAACTTAGGATGAATTGCATTCACTAAGCATTAATTGCGGTATTGCTATGGTGACAACTCAAAATATAATATACTGTAATAATTATCCTTTTTGTAATACCTTGTGCTATTTTTTATGTAATTTAATCAACCTGTATATTTTTTTTTCTTTTTTTTACTAACCTTCGTATTAATTATTTATTAAGCATCAGAAAAACAAATTTTACTTAAGAACTTTTCAATAAGAGACAATTAAAGAATAGTATTTAATGCAGGCCAAATAATTAAACAGTGTAAATGTATTAAAAAATGAATAATAAATATTAATTTGGTGTTTTATTTTATTTGAACTTTATTCTGAATACAAAAATAATATCCGATTTTAACTCTTATTTAAGAGTCTATTATCACGAGGGTGGAGCCTGATGGTAGAGGGGAGACATAAGAGTCTCATGGGAGGTTAAATCAGTAGCGAAAGAAAGGGTCCTGGGCTACCTGGCGATGCCCCCTTTGGGCCCCACAAAGCTGACAGATTTAAAGGATGTGTAGAGGTGAGACACAGCAAGTAAAGCTTTGTTTTCAACATTTGATGGGCATTTGTAAACAACTACACCATAAAACATAAACAACAGGCATCCCGTATTTGTATCTACATTACTTTAACCCCTCCCCCACTCCCAATGTTTTGCCTGTGGATTAAAAAAGAGGGCCTGTGGTTCTGGCAAAAAAATATTGCCTATTAATGTCCTGGGCCCCTTTAAGGTCTGGAACATGTGACTTTCACAAGCGAGGGGTGACTTTTTCTTGGGGTTTGCACTCTCCCTGTTTTAAGTGTATTTATTTGCTCAGGAAATTTCCAGTTGGAAGTATGGATGGGTAAATATTTATGAGGAGGCCTATATTTATAGTAATTATATTTATAAGTTATAGCTACTATCTACACACAACCATCCATGAGTGAACAATATCAAATTGACATGTAATTTTCTCCTACTTTTTACTACATGTTAAATATTCTCCAACTTTTACGGTAGAAGACTTTGGCATGACAGTTTAATTAAGTCACAAAAACGTATAAAAACTCCCTGGTATAATTAATACAGTAACACTAGACCTACCTGTTCTACTAGCTACTAGTCCTACAGGCTACATCAACTATATAGGCCTAGGCCGGCTTGGGCCTAGGCTAGCCGAATCAAGATTTGTTAATTAACAAAAATAAGTAAAACATACTCACCTGGCCAAGATCGATAGTGATGTTCACTTCATTATAAGAGAGTCCTCTCGATAAAGGAGGACTTTGCCACCACTTTTCAGTGCCATCTATAGCATATTCAGCCGGATGCTTAGAGAGAGGGAGAGACATATCACAAAAGTCACAGTACTGTCCGTTGACAATATCTTGTTCAGCTCTACGGAAGCTGTCCCCAGTGTTTCCTGTCAGTTTGCAGTACAGTTCAGCCTTGCCTTCGTCCCCGCACGTCGAAGTAGCGGTGATCTTCTTACCTTGGGCGATGTTGAAGGACGGTGGGATGAGCGCTTGGTTTTGCTGGCCCTGGACCAAAGCAATACCAAAGCACAAACAGAGAGCAATATCAATAATCATTTTTAAAGATATGTTCTCAATTGATACACCGAATATGCGACTTTAATTAGTAAAAGAAACAGTATTAATATTATAATTGCAGCCTCGAGTCCAACCACCGCATCCCGCTCACGTTCAGTACCCGAACAGTTTGGCTTTTCCTCCCAAAGCAAAACGTGAGACTGATAGCATGTCTAGCCAATCAGATTGCTGAAAATCTAATCACTGTTGTGCTAGCTACCACCAAGTTTACAAACTACTTTCCTAGGCACACTCCGGGGTCGTTGTTTGTTAAATTGCGTGTGTGTAACGACGTCTAAATAGGTCTATATTTTAATTTCGGAATGAACCAGCTAAGAATTTTACGTTATAACGTTATAGTTTGGTGTACAAAACGTGTTTCTTTCTTTCTTTTCTTTTTTTTTTGAAGAGTCATAGGCCCACTAAATATGTATTTTTTCGTGGCCGGACGTTTCACCGACAACAAACATTTGCCAAGACGATTCGCCGATATCCAATTGCCAGACAATTTGCCGACAGACAATTCGCCGACATTTTTTTGTGAACATGTTAATGGTTGGGTGTGTCATAAGTAGCATAGGCCTATGTTTTATTTTTATAAAATTTGTGGTTAAATTATAAATACACTCTATTTTAAAAATGTTTTGTATTTGAAGTATTGAAACAATCAATCAATCAACAATCAATTTGACTTTTTCTTTAATTTAATTTGTATATAACTAGCTTAATTTATTCCTCTGTTGAATTGTATACCCATTAATTTATCCTAGTTTGTACTGTACATTCAAACTGTAATTCCTGTCTCTTATACACATCTAGATGTGTATAAGAGACAGGTGTAAATGTATTAAAAAATGAATAATAAATATTGATTTGGTGTTTTATTTTATTTGAACTTTATTCTGAATACAAAAATAATATCCAATTTTAACTCTTATTAAGAGTCTATTATCACGAGGGTGGAGCCTGATGGTAGAGGGGAGACAAGAGTCTCATGGGAGGTTAAATCAGTAGCGAAAGAAAGGGTCCTGGGCTACAACAGGCATCCCGTATTTGTATCTACATTACTTTAACCCCTCCCCCACTCCCAATGTTTTGCCTGTGGATTAAAAAAGAGGGCCTGTGGTTCTGGCAAAAAAATATTGCCTATTAATGTCCTGGGCCCCTTTATTAAGGTCTGGAACATGTGACTTTCACAAGCGAGGGGTGACTTTTTCTTAATCTTGGGGTTTGCACTCTCCCTGTTTTAAGTGTATTTATTTGCTCAGGAAATTTCCAGTTGGAAGTATGGGTAAATATTTATGAGGAGGCCTATATTTATAGTAATTATATTTATAAGTTATAGCTATTATCTACACACAATCATCCATGAGTGAACAATATCAAATTGACATGTAATTTTCTCCTACTTTTTACTACATGTTAAATATTCTCCAACTTTTACGGTAGAAGACTTTGGCATGACAGTTTAATTAAGTCACAAAAACGTATAAAAACTCCCTGGTATAATTAATACAGTAACACTAGACCTACGTCCTGTTCTACTACTAATCCTACAGGCTACATCAACTATATAGGCCTAGGCCTTGGGCCTAGGCTAGCAGAATCAAGATTTGTTAATTAACAAATATAAGTAAAACATACTCACCTGGCCAAGATCGATAGTGATATTCACTTCATTATAAGAGAGTCCTCTCGATAAAGGAGGACTTTGCCACCACTTTTCAGTGCCATCTATAGCATATTCAGCCGGATGCTTAGAAAGAGGGAGAGACATATCACAAAAGTCACAGTACTGTCCGTTGACAATATCTTGTTCAGCTCTACGGAAGCTGTCCCCAGTGTTTCCCGTCAGTTTGCAGTACAGTTCAGCCTTGCCTTCGTCCCCGCACGTCGAAGTAGCGGTGATCTTCTTACCTTGGGCGATGTTGAAGGACGGTGGGATGAGCGCTTGGTTTTGCTGGCCTTGGACCAAAGCAATACCAAAGCACAAACAGAGAGCAATATCAATAATCATTTTTAGAGATATGTTCTCAATTGATACACCGAATATGCGACTTTAATTAGTAAAAGAAACAGTATTAATATTATAATTTCAGCCTCGGGTCCAACCACCGCATCCCGCTCACGTTTAGTACCCGAACAGTTTGGCTTTTCCTCCCAAAGCAAAACGTGAGACTGATAGCATGTCTAGCCAATCAGATTGCTGAAAATCTAATCACTGTTGTGCTAGCTACCACCAAGTTTACAAACTACTTTCCTAGGCACACTCCGGGGTCGTTGTTTGTTAAATTGCGTGTGTGTAACGACGTCTAAATAGGTCTATATTTTAATTTCGGAATGAACCAGCTAAGAATTTTACGTTATAACGTTATAGTTTGGTGTACAAAACGTGTTTTTTTTTGTTTGTTTGTTTGTTTGTTTGTTTGTTTTTTTTTAAGGCCCACTAAATATGTATTTTTTCGTGGCCGGACTATTCACCGACAACAAACATTTGCCAAGACGATTCGCCGATATCCTTTGCCGACAGACAATTCGCCGACATTTTTTTGTGAACATGTTAATGGTTGGGTGTGTCATAAGTAGCATAGGCCTATGTTTTATTTTTATAAAATTTGTGGTTAAATTATAAATACACTCTATTTTAAAAATGTTTTGTATTTGAAGTATTGAAACAATCAATCAATCAACAATCAATTTGACTTTTTCTTTAATTTAATTTGTATATAACTAGCTTAATTTATTCCTCTGTTGAATTGTATACCCATTAATTTATCCTAGTTTGTACTGTACATTCAAACTGTAATTCAGCATGTGCTACCAGGGAATAGTGAAGTAATTTCACTGTTCTGGTGGTACTATTATTTGAATTTGATACGTGAATGAAAGACCGACCAATGTGTCCTCCACTTGTATAGGCCTATTTCAACTTTACTGTATATTTGTAATACGTCGTATTCTGGGTGCATTTCAAACATTTGGAATATTTTTACTTTACGGTATATTGTGCATGATTTTTCTTATGATTTTCTATAGTATTAAAATATTTAATAAAAATATAGATGAACATGAACATAGCCTGTAGGCCTAGCCCTATTTTATATTTTTAGCAGAATCTTGTTGCATAATTAATATATTGAAAGTGTGTGTCTGCATGTATGAATAGCTATAAATAACGACTTTTCATGATGACTACCCAGTCCTCCACAAAACAAAACATCTCAAAGAAACATCAATCACATCACACAAAAAAAGTTGTCGGCGAAATGTATGACGGCAAATTGGTTGTCGGCGAATTAGTTGTCGCCGAATCGGCTGTCGGCGAATCGTCCAGTCGGCGAAATGTCCAGTCGGTGAATTCAGTTTCGGAGAATTCCGGTGTCGGTGAATGTCCAGTACGGTACCGTATTTATTATAACGTGTAATTTCACAAACACATACCGGTAACAATAGGCCCATACATACGAATTGTCAATTCTACACATTACAACATTATAGTGTATGTATATCTATAATAGTATAACGGAAAGAAAGAAAAGTATTATTAATATTTAAGGTAGTAAGTGCAGTCGATTGGGTCGGCATTGTATCGTGAATGTGGCACATCCGCTTACCCTTTTCTCGTCTCCATGAGGATTAGTGAAAGTATCAGAAAAAAAATAATATGCACACAAACTTTTTAGGCTTACATAGGGTTGACTTGACTTGACTTTATTCAGTATACCTAAACATCAACAATAAAATCAAATAACAAAGAGTTTCAAAAAAGTTAATACAGACTTTAAAATAGGGAAAAAGTTTAACAATTAAAATTCAATAAAATCTTATGTTGAACACTAGGTATAATAGGATAGCCCATGAAGTTGTATAAAACGACTTATTTCCAATGGGGTCCTTGGGGTTCGTTTTAAGAAATAATGTTTTAAACAGAATGTGTAGATGATGGCCTATCTTATATTTTATTTTCTATAGGCCTATTGATTGGTTTATTGTTTGATTGATTAACGGATTGATCAACCTTCTGTCGTGAAATGCTACAATGTTATCTTTTGCTTGGTTCTTGCATTTTGAGAAGACTCATAGAGCTAATTAATCCAATAAAATAGTAGGCCTATATGCATATTAGCTTGCCTGTGGTATATTTATAAATGTTATCTTTTGCTTGGTCCTTGCATTTTGAGAAGACTCTATAGAACTAATTAATCCAATAAAATAGTATATGCATATTAGCTTGTGTGTGGTACCGTATATTTATAACTTTACCTGGGTAGGCCTACTACCAATGCAAATGATTTGAAGACTAAACTTGTCTGTCGACTGTCGGATCGAAAAAAATACAAATCCTTTTGAAATGTTTGTATAATTGGAATAGGCCCTATGCCTAGTGTTAAAATTTGTCATCTAAAAACAAAAACAGTATTTAAATCTTGTCATCTAAACATTCTGTTTAAAAAAAAAAGTCACGTCATCTAAACATTCTGTTTCAACCGTATTTTTAAAACGTGTCATCTACACATTCTGTTTAAAACATTATTTTTTAAACGCGGCATCTAAAACTATTAATTAAATTGTATCTGCATTTGAAGTCCTACGTAGGCCTACACCTTGAGAATTTTTTTTATTTGGTTTTATCCAGACGAGACGTAGGCCTATATCTATGTGTAGAGTTTGTACCGGTAATTTGTAAATAAGAGGCTTATTTTTAATTTTGTGATGAGTGTAAAAACAATTAATAATTTACAATTCAATTCATTAGGCTATTCACTCCAAATCAATAAGGAGACATTTTCACACCCGGCCTCTAGATCAATAATAGTACATCCCTTCCTGTTTGAATTTGAAATACCTCCATACTTATAAGAAATGTACTTGATTTAAAATAAGACTGTGACTATTGTTACACCAGTTTTAAACGAATTCCTAATTTTGATTGGGTGTTATTGTCCTTGTCCAATACAAACATGAGGAGTTCGTTTATTAACATCGCATGATGGCGCACAACATAAAGCAGGAAATTTCAACTTCCTTTGAAAATGAATCATCGTTGTTGTTTTCAACATGTTGGAAAGTAAAATACACTGAGATTTACTGTATCGGCTCAACACTTATACCAACAAAACAGGACTTTTGTATACATTCACCGTTTTAAGTCAATCTAAACTGGCCATGACTGTAAGTTGCGTTGTTGACGATAAAATTGCATATTATAGGTTATATTATTTCATAATCAGTACCGTATTTCAAAGAAAATTAATTAACTACAACAACTTGGGTTAAAGAGCTTAAATTATAGCCAACTATATTCCTATCTCTTCACGTTTCGTAACTATTGGTATATCAATATATATAATTATGGATCCCAGATCTTTACTTTTACTTAATGATAATTCAATGTCATATACAGATCGCTAATAATAGGCCTATTCATAATTGTTTTATAATTTTCTGAGTCAATCTGAAACTATAGGCCTAAATAATAATATGCATGGCCTACATAAAAATAGTTTTCCAGTGTTTTTTGTTTATACGGTGCTGACTCATTGAGTTACTTAGTTTAAGCTACTCTTTCCAGCATTTTTTTTTTTTTTACAAAATATCTTTTATAGCCCAGGTTCTTAATTTATTTATTTAAAGGGCCAAATTATTTTAAAATTTGATATCCCTATTTCTTGCTTATTGATCTTTTCTTTCTTGCTTGTGTAAAATCAACAAAAAATGGTGGCGCCAATATCTGCCCAATGGTAGTGGGAAGCGATGTCCCTGAACCTCTAAAGGAGGTTCAGAGTAAAGCCCCGGGAAACTCTAAATAGTTGGTAGTGCTTTTGAATGCTCCGGGCCCGTAATCAATCTTACAGCCTCCTATTCTGTAAACGTTACATCTGATTTTTTTCCCCATAACGAATGTGTTGAGTTCTCTTTTGACGGCAATCTGCCTCCGCACTGGTACCACTTCATTTGCAATTCTCGCTAAATTAGAGTTTGTTGAGAACTGACGGTTTTAAGTACAGTGTTTACCATGATTAGTGGTAAAGTGCCGCATTCAAAGCAGTCCTCAAATAGTTGCATATGGCCTAATAATAAGCAGGATTTACAGATTTGAAATTGTAAAAAATAGAGCATTATATTTTCATATGTTGTTTACGGACATGTAGGTATAACATTTTTGAACTGGGTTTGCGTTTGCGAGCCTTAGGCTGAGGCCGTTTAGGGCATCCGGTTGGGGTCCAGAGGCGAGAAACTCCGGCAAAGTAGCATTTTGAGGCCGTACGGTATTTAATGGATTCCTGAAACCCATAATTCGTGAATATTCTTTTTAAATTTCCATTCATTTTGGTGTTATTAAGTACGTCCTTTATTCAAACTATCGTTCGTGACTTAAGTTAGAGTCGCCAAAATATTTTGCAGGGTCGCCGAACGTTTAATGTTGTCGGTGCTAGTAATATAACTTGTCATGTCTTCTTTTTTGTGCAAGTGTATCTGTGTATTGTTTCCTGAATTAGGTTTTTTTATTCCACAAAATAAGGTACTCTTATCAATAGGTCCATGGTACAACTAGATTGTGTTATATCATATTGATCTTGATTCTACGCCTAAGCAAAATATTGTTACCTGCTCCATACAACAACTGCGAGTAATACTAATCTTGTAGGAGTATTTTCCAACCAAATGAAGATACAAAACACAATAATTTTGTTTTACCAGTCATAAAAAGTTTAACTTAATGGTTTGGCATACAATCGGTATTTTCGTAATTTCTCCCATCCCCATCCACCAAATAAAGGGCTTTAAAACCTAAAACCATTTTGCCTGTAAAATCTCGGGTCTACTTATAATAACAACAAGTCTATGATAAAATTTTACTTTTTATTTACTATGTCATATTTAGCTGCGTTTGTCGATTGGTTTTTATCGGGATTTAATTCTAAATCTGGGGGGTGGGGGTGTTACCCCTATTTCACACTGGCCCAGTGTTGTGTTTTGGCCTTTACATTATTGGAAAAAAAATCATCGAATGGTAACTACTTTTAGTTTCTTGAAATATATATAGGACTAGGCCTATATATATATATATATATATATATATATATATATATATAAATGAATATAAAGTTGTCAGTTCAGGCAACGTATAGTTCTCGATGCTATGCAGAGCGGTATAATAATAATAATAATAATAATAATACTAATAATAAGGAACTTGTAATTTCACTCTACATGCTGTTTCATGCACTAGGCAATCTTCAGGAGTGAAGGGAATTTCAAATTTGGCGTGTATATGTAGAGTTGGGCCGGTGTAGATGCAAATTAGGTATTATGTGATATTAAACTCTATATTTTTAACTTAATTTTTTCTCGCGGGCCAGATTGCTTCTCGGGCCAAATTTGCCCCGCGGGCCGCATACTAAGAACCATGGTTTTATAGTGTCAATAATTTGTATTATATTGTAAATGTTATTGGAATAAGTACATGAAATGAAATGAATGAAATTATAAAGTCATACGGACGTGTTGGTGAAGCACTCAAATTGTATTTCTATATAATATATAAACAGCATAGTGAAATTTCTTGTGTGCCCTTACAACACAATTGACTAAACAAGAACACTGTTTGCTAAGGGGACATTGAAATAGAAAGTATACAATATCTGGTTGAAATTAAACCATTGATAGGCCTGTATGTTTAAAATCAGATTTTGGAATTAAGTTACACACATTTAGGTGATGATGCTTTTTTATGGTTTTCTATTATATAGACTCGTGGGTACGTTATGATGAGCTATCAATGGGATGATCAACCGTGAGTTGCATATTTTTTAAATGGAGACATGATAAAATTACGCCTCAATAGGCCTATATACCACATCAAATATTTAGTTGCCGTAATAAAGGGTGAATAAATTAACAAAGGATAGGCCTAATGTTTTGCACCAATTATAACTTCAGTTATTATTATGCAATTAACACAAGTTTCTGTTTTCAAGAATGGTGAAGAAAATCGCTGATCGTTTGAAACAACATGGGTATAACGTATGGATAGACATTGAGAAAATGCATGGGTTCATCTTCGACACAATGGCTGACGCAGTAAAGAACGCTGATGTGGTCCTCGCCTGCTTTTCAGAAAAATATCAACAAAGCGACAATTGCAAATCAGGTTAAATATTATTATTATTAAATAGAAATTTTACCAAAAGTTTATCACAGGGCGCTACGTCTATTTTGTTTATATCTGCCACATATTAGTTTGTTTAACAAACTAATATGCAGATAGAACGTACTTTGATAGAGATGACATAATTATTACATTTTCATAAACTCATATTATCTTGTACGAATAAGACTACACTTTCAAGAATAACAATAATGATAAATAAATTAACCATGTTGTTTGCCTTTATAATAACAAGGATAATATATTTGCTATGATCTATTTAATTTATTAACAGAAGGAAACTGTATGCGCCAATTCCGCAAAGAGTTTATACCCATTAAAATGGAGGCTGGCTATTCACCCGATGGCTGGGTTGCTACTATTTTCGGTGGCCATCTATATGTTGATTTCTCACAGGCTACAGACCCCATAATATTCGAAACTAAGATATATGAGTTGTTACAACAGCTCGGTTTAAAATCAGTTTTTCGGGATATTGAGGTAAGTTAAAATACCACTCTCGTAGCGTCAACTGTGTATGTCAATTTCGAAAGCCGTCACTTAACAAAAAATTTGATGACGGATGTGTCTGGATTTTGAGAGCTTAATTAGTAACTAAGTTATTCCTGATGATAACGAATTTAATCCAAGCAAAATGAAGTGTATTTCTTTACTTGGGCTTTCATTATTCTTTCATATCTGAAACAAATTAGTGGACTTTCTGATTAATAATTAACAGTTTAAGACTGGATTTTCGAATACTTGACACTTGACATAGTGATGCTCAGTTAAAACTATGCCTGGGCTATACTCTTTATACGTAAGCCTACATTTGTATATAGAATAAAATAATATATAAACAAATTGGTAATGATAGAAACAATTAATGCTAAAAAATACTGTGGTTTCGGCATAAGGGGTTCGAAAATTGAAAATGCGGAACTAAATCCCTATTCCAATGAAAACTCATTTTCAGTATTTGAACCATACTTGGTTGAACAAATTTTCC